AAAAAAAAATCAAGGGCACGGCAACTGATTGCTTTGTTGGATATTTGCCAATTGTTTTTGTGGGTGAAGTGCAATGGAACAAGGCAACAAACAAACTGGCATAGAAAATCATTCAACAAAGGGTATCGTCACTTATCAAACAAAGCCCTTGCGGGAACCTGTAAGAGCGAGAATGAGGGAGAGAGAGAGAGGCCGAGAGAGTTTCAGGGTTGCAGGTACCGGACACCGGACTAGGACCAGGCGGACAGTACTGGGCAGAGAGTTCAGCCGGCACAGAGGAAGAAGTCGACAAGGAGGGGTGGACAGGGCAGAACAGAGGGCGTGGTATGGGAAGCAGAGGGCAGAACAGAGGGCGTGGTATGGGAAGCAGAGGGAATATATGGAAAGGGGATATGATGTGGGAATGTTCAAGCAAGCAACTGCCTTCTTCTTCTCCAACATTCCCAATGACTGGAGCGAATCTGAAATGTGGACAGAATTTGCAAAATTTGGCAGAGTATACGCAATATACAGCCCTCCAAGAAGAAACAGAAATGGAAGAAGGTTCGGCTTTGTCAGATATCTCAACGTTAAGGATGAGAAGGAACTAGAGAGGAAACTTGATCAGATCCGAATCAGGGGCCACAAGATATGGGTTAACATAGCCATGTATCCTAAGGAGGAAGTTAAAGAAAGGGAGACAAGGAGAATTGTAACCACAAATATGGTTGTTGCAGGAAAATCATATGCAGATGCAGTAAAAGGGAAGTTGGGAAGGGCTCCACAAAAAGCAGAGCATATACAAGCAGAGAAGAGGCCGAAGTTGGACAACCAGACAGCAAAGAGCAGATGCAACAATACACCCAGCCAGCAAAACACTAGACAAACGTGGAAACTCAAAAGCAAACAAGAAGAATGGTCAGGAATTGAGTACAACGTCAAAGAAGAAGAATATGAGTGGCTGCGTGGATGTTATGTGGGCATTGCTCACTCAGTGGAAATAGTGCCAAACCTTCAAGAAAAGTTTTATATGGAAGGTTATTTCTCCTGCAGACTCTGAGCAATGGGGGGCAAGATGATCTTAATGGAATGCGAGGATAAAGAGGAATTAAAAGAGCTAGTACAGGGCGCTGCAAGCTGGCTGGGTCAGTGGTTCTCAGAAGTTAAACCTTGGACACCTGCAGTGGTGGCAAATGAAAGATTTGTTTGGATGAGATGCTTAGGAGCACCAATTCATGCTTGGGGGCCAGATTTTTTTGAGAATATGGCTAATGCATGGGGCAAGTTTATATGTCTGGATGACAGCACAAGCAAGAGGAGGAGGTTCGACATAGCCAGATTCCTTATATCGACGTTGATAATGGATTTAATCTCGGTTAAGAGGCAGATCAAAGTTAATGGAGTCTTCTACAATCTGAAATTTTCGGAAGAGGAAATGACTAATAGTCTATTCTCATTAAGGTATGATTTTATGCCAAATTTTAAGAGTGATTCTAGCTCTAAAGAGTCATGGTCGGAGGGAAGCGATGATGATGAGGAGCTGGGAAGCAAATTCAGTGCAGAAGATAACGGAAATATCGACGGAGAAGAAGAAGATGTCAGAGGGGAACAGGAGTTAAATGAGCTGGACAAACGGTCGACCAACACTCCGTCTGACAAAGCAAAATTTGAAATGAAGGGCATGGGTGAGTTTGAAATTGTGGCAGAGAGAGGTGGCGTGAATCAGTGGAGAAGATTTGACAGGATCACATACAGCCAGTTGGGTGAGGAAGAATCAGTGGAGATGGTGGCGGACAGTATGGAGGGGCTTCTAGAAGCAAGTGACATGGGGAGTGGTGAAGAGGTGGGGCTTTGTAAATTGGACTTTAAGAGTAGGACAACAACGGACTCAATAGAGAACACGGAAGAATATGATTTGGGCCAAAGGCTAAAGCCCATATTGAAAGGCTTGGGTCCAATCCATGAAGAAAATGAAGAAGGAGACAAGGATGTGAGGGCCCCATCGGATTCAAAAACCAGCACCCAAGTGGGAGAAAAGGGGGATTTGCTGGGAATATCAAGAAATGAGGAAAGAAGGGACCACCAGCAAATTTGCAGTGAGATATAAGCGGAGACACCAAGTGAGGAAGCAAGGGTGAATGAGAGGGTAAGCACCAGAAGAGAAATAGACAAAAAAAGAAGAAAAAGGAGAGCTGTGAGTTGCAGATCAGTGTACCAAAGAGCAATAATGTTTGGATTAACGGGCCAACGAAGGAAGGGCCGAAGCAAATCTAAGAAGAAGCAAGTAGAGAAAGAAGGGATTCCAAGCTTCCTTCCAAATATGAGTAATTCAGTGGCAGGGGGATCAGTGGGAGACAGTGGAATAGAGAACTGCAACAGGATGCTGAAGGAGCAAAGTAGCCAGCGGACAACAGCAAAGTAGCGAGCGGACAACAGCAAAACTATGGGAATTTGCAAAAAAAATTGGGGTGGATGCAGAGGACGAGAAAGAGGCTGTCAAGATCCTTGAAGAAATGGAGACCCGTGATAGGAAAGAAAAGGCAGAGGGCAGCTCAAAGGAAGAAAGAAAGAATAAGAAGGTTAGTGAAGCTGTACAATGAATATCTTATTTTTTAATATTAGAGGGATTGGAGGTGCTGGGAAGAAGAGGTATATTAGAGATCTAGTAGTAAAGGAGAGAGTGGATTTTTTAGCAATTCAGGAAACAAAATTAGCAGGAGTGGATAAAAAAATTTGTAGAGCAGTGTGGGGGTCTGAAGATTTTGAGTGGGTTGCCAAGGATGCTTGTGGAATGTCGGGTGGCATGCTTTGTTTGTGGAACCCCAAAGTGCTCACCATGTCCAGAATAATAGAGGGAGAAAACTTTATAGGCATAGAAGGAATTTGGGGGACAGAGGCGACCCCAGTGAGCATAATTAATGTATATTCCCCATGCCAGTTATCAGGGAAACGATCCTTATGGGAGGAATTGAAAAAACTGGTTTCCGGTAGAGGAGGTAATTGGTGTATTGCAGGTGATTTCAATGCAGTAAGAAAGACAGAGGAAAGAAAAGGGAGCAGGGGTATAAGCAGTGAGATGAGAGAGTTTGACAGTTTCATAAGAGAAGCAGATTTGATTGATATCCCGTTAGTGGGCAGAAAATTTACGTGGTATCAGGCTAGTGGGCAATATATGAGTAGAATAGACAGATTTCTACTTTCTGAAGGGTGGCTGTCCAAATGGAGTGATACCAGACAATGGGGTTTAAGAAGAACAATATCAGATCACTGTCCAATCCTACTCAAATTTCAGCAAGTAGACTGGGGACCTAAACCATTCAGGTTCTTTGATGCTTGGCTAAAAATGGAAGGTTGTAGGGAGCTAATAAGAGAGGTATGGAGCAAAGCAGAAATCGAAGGATGGGCAGGGTACCGCCTCAAAGAAAAGATGAAGTTGACAAAGGAGGCGCTAAGGAAATGGAGCAAGGACTCAACTTTGGATATTGAGAGAAAGATAAGCAATGCTGCAGCAGAGATAGACTGGATTGATAGGAAGGGGGAACAAGAGCAGCTGACGGAAGAAGAAATCAAGAAAAGAAGAGAGGCCACAATAACCCTATGGGAAAATATGAAAAGAAAGGAAAGTATGATCCAACAGAAATCAAGGAAGACATGGTTAGCTCACGGAGATGCAAATACAAAGTTCTTCCACAAGTGTGTAAAGGGGAGATGGAGAAGAAATGAGATGAGTAGCATACACATAAATGGAGTCCAGTTAAAGGAAGCTAGCAGAATAAAGGACGAGCTTGCTGGTTTCTTTGAGGAGATGTTTAAGGAAAAACAGAGGGTTAGGCCAAAGTTGGGTGGGGTGAGTTTCAAACAGATTTCACAAGAAGATAATGATTTCATAATTGGACCCTTCAGTGAAAGTGAGATCAAGGCAGCAGTGTGGGAGTGTGATAGCTCGAAAGCGCTAGGCCCTGATGGGTTTAACTTCAAGTTTATCAAGTGCGAATGGGAGCTAATTAAAGATGATGTGATTAGATTCCTACAGGAATTCCACAAGAACAGCAAGATGGTGAGAGGACTCAACACATCCTTCATTGTACTGGTCCCCAAATCGAACAATCCACAGAAGATAGAGGAGTATCGACCCATCTCTTTAATTGGAGTCATGTATAAAATCCTATCCAAGTTGCTAGCCAACCGCTTAAAGAAGGTGCTGCACCAGGTAGTGGGAGAACAACAGACGGCTTTTTTAAGTGGAAGGCAGCTGATGGATGGAGTTTTGATTGCTAATGAGGTGATCGACGAAGCAAAAAAGAAGAAGAGGAAAACAATTATGTTTAAGATTGACTTTGAAAAGGCCTACGATAAGGTTAGTTGGGAATTCCTGGAATATATGATGCAAAGGATGGGATTCTGTGACAAGTGGAGGAAGTGGATCGGAGAGTGCTTAAGAACAAGCCTTGTATCAGTTCTGGTCAATGGTAGCCCAACAAGACAATTTAGTGTCACAAAAGGTCTTAGACAAGGAGATCCCCTATCACCCTTCTTATTCCTAATCATTGCGGAAGGTTTAAATGGGCTGGTATCCAATGCAACTCAAAAAGGATTGTTGGAGGGAGTCAAAGTGGGAAGCAGAGGTTTGAAATTGGCACATCTTCAATTTGCAGATGACACAATCCTATTTGGAGAAGCTTCTGAGAAAAATGTCCTAGCAATGAAAGGAATTTTGAGAGCATTTGAAATAGTCTCTGGACTTAAGGTCAGTTTTAACAAAAGCCAACTGATGGGAGTCTGTGTACAAGAGGAATGGTTGGATAGAATGGCATGGCTGCTGTGCTGCAAAAAAGGAAGCATGCCGTTTAAGTATCTAGGAATCCCTATCGGGGGGAATCCGAGGAGAATAGCCTTCTGGAAACCATTGCTGGAAACCTTCAACAAGAAGCTTCACACTTGGAAGGGTCGGTTTCTTTCTCTTGGTGGTCGGATAACTCTTATTAACTCAGTACTATCCAGCCTCCCCGTGTTTTGGATGTCACTGTACCTAGTCCCGAAAGGTATGATTCTTTTAATTGATAAAATCCGTAGAAGATTTTTGTGGGGGGGGTCTGAGGGAGGGAAGAGGGTTAATTGGGTTAATTGGGGGCAAGTCTGTAAAGGAAAAGAGAGTGGTGGATTGGGGGTTAAGGACTTGAGGAAGTTTAATGTGGCGTTATTAGGAAAATGGTGGGGGAGACTAATGTCGGAAGGAAAAGGATTATGGAAAACTGTCATTTGTGAGAAGTATGGAAGGGTAGGGGAATCAACTTATAACATGCTGAGGGGGGGAATACAATTTGGATCAACTTGGTGGAGGGATATCTGTAGAGTGAATCAGGTAATTGGTGATAACAGGGGATGGCTTACTAATGGTCTGAAAATAAATGTAGGGGAAGGGGCAGGAGTAAGTTTTTGGTGGGATGAGTGGGGGGAGGGAGAGAGTCTTGCTAACAAGTTTCCAAGACTTTACACATTGTCTACAGGAAAGAACAACAGCATAAATCAAATGGGAGGGTGGCAAAATGCATCATGGGTGTGGAAACTAACGTGGAGGAGAAGCTTGCACAGCTGGGAAATGCAGCAAGAATTGGAACTTCAAAGGTTGATTCAAGAAATCAAAATAGAAAGAGGAAAACCAGATGTATGGAGGTGGATACATAGCAAGGACGGGAATTATTCAACATGTTCAGCCTACCAAAGACTTACGAGAGAACAGGGTAGTGAGCAGCAGAATTCAAAAATGCAGAAAATATGGAACACATCAATCCCCAGCAAAATCTCAGCATTCTCATGGCAAATGCTTCAAGATAAAATTCCAACAAAGGTAAACCTGTTCAAAAGAGGTATTATAAAAGAGATTGAGGAGTGTAAGTGTGACCTTTGTGGGATGACATATGAGGATACCAGCCACATCTTTATTCACTGTGAAGTATCCTGTAAATTGTGGAATGCCTGTTATAAATGGTGGGGTATCAAGACAGCACTCGACAATGATTGCTGGAAGGTGTTTGAACAGCATGGCAACATGGTGAAAACAGAGAAGGAAAAGGAAGGATGGGAGTGCATATGGTTTGCCACAATATGGACAATATGGCTAACAAGAAACGGGAGGGTATTCAAAAGAAAGGAAACAGATAGAAGAAAAATGCTAGAGCTGGTGCAACTTAAGTCCTTCAACTGGTTGAAAGATATAAGAGGAGGTTGCTTATTCTCACTATCTGATTGGCTACAGGATCCAGCAAGTTGTCTAAAGCTTAACTGTGTAGGTAGAAGGAATAACAAAGAATATACAACAATCAGGTAGAAATAGGAGCAGATGGATAGAAGCCACCACAGCATGCTGCAAACAGTTGGAAGGTACCAGAAAAGCCACTAAGGAAACCCAAAGCCAAAAATATCAACAAGGGAGGTTATGGTATTCTGGAAGGGCTGAGCACTGTGAAACCCGACACGGTCGTGGTGTCGACACTTTATCATGGTGTCGACACCAAACGGAAGAACTGAGCCTCAATCTCCGACACGGACATGGTGTCGACACACAATATAGGTGTCGACACCGAACGGAAGGGCTAATTGACTATGTAACTCTTAGCCTTTCAAACTAAGATGTTTACGGGTTTGGGGTACCCCTTGTACTCCGTATTAATAAATATATTAC